ACCACTTATAGGGAACGTCCTGTGGAGGATGCAGTAAAAAGTTTGAATGGAAGCCTATGGTAAATGATACATCATTTTAAAGGCCATTTTTTTCTGAGTAAGGAGCCACAAGTTTCATCTCAAAAGGACCACCCTAGCAAAAATGGCGACTGTTTGAAATTTAAAAAACCACTTATAGGGAACGGAATTTTTAAATTTCAAACAGTCGCCATTTTCGCTAGGGTGGTCCTTTTGAGATGAAACTTGTGGCTCCTTACTCAGAAAAAAATGGCCTTTAAAATGATGTATCATTTACCATAGGCTTAGATGAAAACTTTTTACTGCATCCTCCACAGGACGTTCCCTATAAGTGGTTATTTAAATTTCAAACAGTCGTCATTTTTGCTAGGGTGGTCATTTTGAGATGAAACTTGTGGATCCTTACTCAGAAAAAAATGGCCTTTAAAATGATGTATCATTTACCATAGGCTTCCATTTAAACTTATTACTGCATCCTCCACAGGACGTGCCCTATAAGTGGTAAAAATTTTCATAAGGCACCAAAAGATAGGTAAAACCATAGTATATCCGTACAAAAAATATCATTTGTTTTTCTTTAACCACTCACCAGATATAATGTTGGTTCCAGACATTTTCAACACCCTGTATATATTATACAATTAAAAGGCAATTACTTGGATATTTTTGTTTTTCTAACTGTGACCAAGTAATGCAATTAGTTTTCATTCCAAATATGTTTTACCACTCAAACTTTTTATTTTTCTGGGGTTCTTATTTTTGTTTTATTTCTTGGTCGCTTTACTGTTTTTCTCTTTGCCTTTACAGTCAAATGTTTTACTGACAACTAGAAACTAAGGAAAAAATTCATATATTGTACTAAAAATGGGTCCTTGGTCTAAGGGTAGTTCATTAAATATACTTGATTAGGCTTGTTTTGTTATTTGTTACATAATTTTCTTTTTTTATTTAATTTGTGAAAATTAAACTGACTAGCATCAGAGGAAACCTTATATGAAATGAATGTAAAAATAACATTTAAAAATTATTATTAAATGTGGTATGGTGTAAAAGTTGTGTTTTTATTAGTAATTAATATTAATAGTACTGGATTCAGTGGTATTAAGAGTTAAAATTGTTGCTTTACTAGTGCTCGTTGCCTTGAGAAGAAATAAGACACTGAAGAGTTGAAGGTCGTTCAGGTGTCTAGTTTTTGAGAGTTGTAACCTACACCAACCAACACCCGAAAATATAACACCTGAGAAACATCGTAGAGCTGAAAACAGGTCTCTAGGCCCTATTATCAAATATTTCAGGAGGAAGCTATTACTGTACCTTACATGGTAAAATTTTGGTCTGAATCCAAGAAATATTCATTGTTTTGTTGCTTCTAAATCTCAAAACCTCAAAACCGAAATATATTGTATATTTCCATGCTAAACTAGAAAAATACCATTTGTAATAAAATGGATTAAAAAAGTGGGTTTCAACATTCATCAACAGTTTACATCTTATCTTCACATTTAGTCATCACATGTAGTTGAATCCTATTGTCAGAAAAGGGGTTTTGTCTAACACTAAATATTTGTAGCAGAGTCATATTAATTGCATTAAATGCAAAAGTGCCTAAGTTACTTTTATAATTAGATCCATCCAAAATAATTCATACATTAATTAGTAAAATAAAAATAAAACTAAATTAGTTTTTTAGTAGTACAACATAAATTTGTGTGATACATGTACAAGGGCTTTTCCAATTTTTACACTTTTAGATGCTGTTAGAATTCTTATTTCGCTACTTCACTCTTTTGTGTTTAAATATTTTCATAGTTTATTAATATAAAATTGCATTTTGATAAAATTAGATTGAATGTATTATTTTAAGTAAACTTTAAGTAATTTTAATAATCTTTTATTATGTAATTCTTAAAATAGATTTTAGAATAAGCAAAATATTTCTCTTTAAAAACAAAAACCAATATTAGTATCTGACATTATTTTTATTTAATAGGGTGTCCATCACAACTTAAGGCATATATACTCACCCCACTTTATAGATGGGTAGTAGTGACCTGATACAAATATATAAATTCAAATTGGGATACAATTTACAAATATTGCCTATAAAGATCAAATATAATCTTATAAAATGTTAGAAATGGTATCTTACCACACAGTATCAAAGGTAAGCACAAATTTACTTGTTGAGACAGTAAAAGTTCTTCACTGCAACTAAATTAAAAGTCCAAGTGCAAAATTTTAAGCGGTAATAAAGTAATAAATCTAATAAAAACTATAACATTCAATCCAGTAATACCGTAACTATTCAAAAATTAAAATACAAAATTATAAACATATTAGAATACCAAAATAAATTTAAAAATAATAATACAGATAATAATAAAGTTACAAAATAAAATATTTAAAACTGGAACTATTAATTGATACTAAATGGAAACTGTTGAAATAATGAATGGACCAACATAAGCGCAGGTTATTTTACATGGACATTTGTTCTCTATTTACATGCTCACAGGACGGAGAGTGAATGGGCCCAGTTAATTGGCTTATCTAATTTCCAGCGGCAGCTAGTGAGTGTAAGATGCAGAAAGTGTGGGAGCCGAGTCTTACTCTACTTTCACTAGCTACGCCGCCGCGCCGCCACGCTCACAGATCAATTCCACTTTCCACTTGGCTAATGAGTTTTACATTTATACAAACATTAACCGTTAAAAATTCCATTAGTCCTGCAAAATTATTCTATTCTTGGTCCTATCAGACTATCCATTACTGTAGAACCCCTGTAGTGTTTCAAATCTGGAGGTTACTTTTGTGAGCATTTTAAACTTCAAATGACCTTGAATGTTTTTTTAAATGGATTTCATGTGGGAATTGATGTTTTGTTTTAAATAATTATTTTCTAGCTCTTTAGTACATCTTTTGTTTTCCAACTTATAGCTTAACCTTTCAACATGTAGGCTTAATTCTTTATCAATAAAGCTGTACTAAAATTCAGCTAATAATTCTATTCAATTGATACAAAATTAATGTAAAACTTTTATTTTTATTGGTTAAAACAATTATTTTTTTTACATATAGTATGTGTTGTGGATATTTTGTAATATTTTGTTGGTTTCACAAGTGTTGATTGATTTGTTAAATACATCTATGAGTCATATTTATTTGTGTTTTTATATATTTTTAATATCAGGGTGTGGTAGTGGTTTGGTTATATAGCTCTAGACTTATGCTCTGAAGGCCATGCTCTAGCCCTGCGAATCACTAATTGGTTTTTATCGCAAGTGATATTGTGAATGACCAATGGTTTTGTGCTTTACTTATTAGGTTTCAGGCAAGGAGAACTCTCTCTGGTGTTGAGAACTCCTACTAAATGCCATGCGACCATTCAATTAGTTTTAAATAAAAGAAAAGCTTGAAATGTCTGGCAATTAATTTGTTTTTAATTTATTAATTTTGATCTGTTGATTAGTAAATAGTTTTTAAATTGCACTTTCTTGAACTAAAAGGCACAAGCACCAATATTCTATTGTTTCAAAGCTAGATATTAGAATTTGTATTTGATTATCAACATCGTGATCTTCTCGATCAAAATTAATCAGTTTAAAAATTAATTGTCGGATAAATACAAACAACATTATTGGACAAAACATCTTGAAAAATAAATAGATAAAAAGCTTAAAATAACAAATATGTGAAACAAAATGAAAAAGTGTTATATTTGAATTACATTTTTACAATGAATACAATAAATTAACTTATATCATGGGAAATCCTTTTTTTTCTATCTGCTGATTAAAATATAGGTGAAAGACCCCTAGTATCTAGAATAGAATCTACACAAGCAGAGAATTAACTATAACTGCTCCCTTGCTTTTCATAATTATTTAACAAAAAATTTCAACCCACAATTTATTTCCAAAAATTAAGACCTGACATGATATTTGCTCTGTGTTTTTATAAAATCTGAATTTTACGTGCAATGTTAAAGCAGTATGTCTTGGCCTCTACTTAAGACAACCCCCGGAAGACATTGGGCTTCATTAATTACAGAATTTATATAATAGGTATATGACGTTTTAGACCTAGGTACAAAACAATTTTTTTTTCATTCTCTAGCAAATTTTTATATAAAAATAATCATGATGCAATACTCTTGTTAAAAATGTGTATTTTAAAAAAGGCATCCATTTAAGACGAGTTAATTAAATTTAATTTGGATTACGCTGTGTGTCCCATCTAGTGTGATGAGTATGATGACCAATAATAAATTGTTTTCTTCAACGTCTTCTTGAACAACTATTTTGTTTTGTAGATGTAGGTTTAATGTTATTGTATACTTTGAATTGTTAGGTTAAGGCCTGTAACATTTAATATACACTTATTAGATAGCCAGCTAGTAAATGGTACAAAACTTACCAAAACACAACCTGATAGACCATGTACTTACCACAACATGCGGGTTAAACCACAGCACTAAACTAGAAAAAATGTTGAAGTCTGAAACATGTATGTATAGTTAGGCGATATAACAGTCTGTTTACATCTCAATTGTTGAAATTGGCTTATTTCTTACTGAGAAGATTTTTCAACCAAAAGTAATTCAAAACATGAGTGCAAGGGTCAGCACTCATGAGTACTACTACCTCTTACCACTTTAATTGTTGTTTTCCTTTTTCACGGATTAATGCATTAGGCCTTACATAGGTATTTCTAGTTATTATTATTATCCATCAAAATGGGAACACTACTTGTTGAATTTAATAAAATATTATTGAAATACGAGTGTGAATGGAGTGAAATGCCTTGTGTAGCTTTATTACAGACAAAAATCTGTTGCTTCTCAGCCAGGGCATTTATTAAAAAGCCCAATTATCTAGTACAGCTGGGCCCAGTTTCAATTCATCTATGTACGAGTATATAATATAAGCGTATTATATATATAGATATAATCAATTATCACAGTCACTGTTACATTGTTTCAGACCCAGAAGGACGTAGCGGCAGTGAGTTGGGAGGGGGAAGAGACGACGAGACTAGCTCCACGTCTAGTGAGAAGTACGGAAGGGATGTGGCAGTACTCAACCACTGCTTCGATGACATTGAAAAGTTCATTGCACGTTTGCAGCATGCAGCAGCTGCTTCCAGGGAACTGGAGAGGAGAAAGAGGTCAGTGAAATAAGTTCTTGATCAGCATCATATGTGTTTGTACTATTGTGCAGGTAAAATTATTTATGTCTTCCAAAACTAATTGTATTTGCTGTAATTATTTACTAGATAGTAAATATCTATAAAAGATAATAGGCCTTCATGGGCTATCAATCTTGTCTCCAATGGAGTCTGATGATGACTGGCACAAATTCATCAGTGTCTGCCCCCAAACATAGAGTCTACTCTCCTCTTATTGTTTTTTTCAAGCAAGGATGCTGCCCCCCCCCCCATCTTTAGCAGCCTGTGGTTGGCAGTATTGACAAATTGCCCAAATACTTATTTTTTGGGTTTATTTTGATTTAGGCCCGGAAAATGGATGTATGTTTTTTATTTTATTAACTGCTCATGTTATTGTGATTGCATCAACGTTAACTTATATTTTTGTTTAAATATTCAGTTAGAAATGCTTCACTTTTTTAAAGATTATTATTAATTCATTTATTTTTTTCTCTACAGTAAATCTTAGTAATATACTTTAAGCACTTTGTAATATGTATTTATAGCCTGTTTGACTCTATTCAATACATGTTATTTTATGTATAGTGAATAAAGAATGATTTGATTTGATTGATAGTTGATACAAAATAAAATGATTGTTTTCCATGCTCTGAATTTACTTTCCCTTGCTCTCAATCAGTTCTCCATTTGCCCACTATGCATGCTAGTGTTTTTTTACCTTTTATTTCGGTGATTTAAATCAGCTATGAAATTAATTGTATTGTGAACTTGCTGTGTCCTGTCAACTGTCTGGAACTCTTCTCTTGGTTGGATCCATTAAATAATAAATTTGTAGGATATTGCACTTTTGTATTGAGAATTATTTCAATTATTTACTAAAAACTATAGGAATCAGATTTACTACAACAGTTATAACAGAAACTATATCAGTACTAAGTTTTTTGTATGTTCATAAGTAGTTGACTCACTGTTCATGTTCAGGAACCGCAAGTCCAAGAGGAAAGACATGGGAGATGGCATGTTGACCATGAGAGCCAAACCTCCTCCAGAATCAGAGTTCATCGACATCTTCCAGAAGTTCAAACTTTCATTCAATCTGTTGGTGAGTATAAGCATAGATAAAACATACTCCCTTAGTAGATTTCCCATCCTTATGGAACAGCTGAAGCCAATTTTATTGTTATTTTGTTTGGTGTATTGTAGAGTCGTGTTTTGTTTACGATTTGTTTCTATTATTTTAGGATTAGTTTATCATGATTTGTGCCTCACTGTTTGGTTATACTGTATAGCTTGTGGACAAGTTATTGTTTATGATAAGATAGTTTTATTTGGTTAAACAAGGTTTTAAATTACTAAAATAGCAAGAAACGAATTGTAAACAAAACACTACTCTACAGTACACCGGACAGAACTAACAGTTAAATTGGCTTCAGCTGTTCCATAAGGATGGGTAATCTACTAATCTATATAGTCCAGGAATTTTAGGGATGAAACTGCCTTTCGACCTAACATATTTGGACTAATTGGAAACTTTGCAGTGTTGTTTAGTAAGCCTAAATAAATAAACTATCAAAAGTCCCCATAAATCCCGGCTGTGCTTCAGCCGCCATCTTGGAAAATGGTGGCCAATTTTCACTTTTTTGACAATATTTCACAAACTATTGGTATTGGAGAGTTTTTGTAAATACAAAAGTTAAAGAACGTCTAAAAATACATATTTTTTTATACTACAAGGTTTGCTCTATCTCTAAAGGGAAGAGTAATAAAGCGTGTATTTATGTTAAATATTAATAGCTTAGTATAAAATAAATAAATTTGCCAAGTTTGATCCAAATATATCCATAAATAAGCAAACTGCAACAATATTATTTTCCTCCATAAGAATAACATGGGAATTTTAAATTTAATACTATTTTTATTATTTATCTCAATAACCGTTAGAGATAGAGCAAACCTTGTAGTATAAAAATATGTATTTTTAGACGTTCTTTAACTTTTGTATTTACAAAAATTCTCCAATACCAATAGTTTGTGAAATATTGTCAAAAAAGTGAAAATTGGCCGCCATTTTCCACGATGGCGGCTGAAGCACAGCCGGGATTTATGGGGACTTTTGATATTTTATTTGTTTAGGCTTACTAAACAACTGTGCAAAGTTTCCACTTAGTCCGAATTTGTTAGGTCGATTTTCCTAATATTCTTCCACTAATAAGTCATATTAATTTGTTAAAGTTTCTTAATCCACTGCCAGTAAAGAAATTTGAGACCATGGCTACCGACAGTGTTGTTTCATTAAAATCAGTTCTTTTCCATTGGCTTCATGAGCAATATGATACAATATTGTATGAGAGTTTCATAATATAGTTCAGTTTCGTGTTTTATGTATTTTTATTTGAAACTATAATAAAATATTAATTGTACAGCAGTCATACAATGGGAAAATCACAGAGTTGAATGAACTAAAAGACAACAAAATATCATATGTATAATTTATACCATACATTTTATTGCAGTATTCTAAGAACTAAGAAAGAGAACATGTTATGCCATATTTTTTGGTAAATTTAGTATTTAGATTATACTACTCTAGTTTAGCCTATTATATGCTGTAATTTAAAAAATTAAACCTCAGTTGAGCCAAAATACAGAAATAAAATGGTGTGAAACGTGATAGAAAGTATGTTTTAAACTCATCTTATGCGAACTAGAATGAAGTACCATACAAGATTTTTAATCACTTTAAATCTTTCTGATAATTCTATTTGTATGTCCTCTGTGCACGCCAACTGTCCAAGTCCATTCTATCATAGTGAATCTTTGGTAAGTTGGTCAATATTTGTCTGAGAAAATTTCTTATTCCCAAACTGAAAACTTGAAAACCCTTGCATCCCAGATTTAGCTGGGAATCATGTTAAGCTTATGAGAACTATCATTTTGGTTCCATGCAAAGAGAAAGTTGCAATGTTTATGTTTATATTCTCTTTCTTTATATTTTTGAATGCTTTTTACTAGGGATGGACGGGATTGAATTTTTAGTTCGGGACGGGACGAGACGGGATTTTTATTTCCTTCCCGATTTTCGGGACGGGACGGGACGGGATTTTATTTGTGCATAAAAAGAAAGTCTTGAGTATTGCAGTTACCAAAAAAAGACATACAAAATCAATTTTTACCGTTTGTGGTACTGATCTATAAAAACAAAAAAATGGGTAACAATATACAGGTACCTATAGAAACTTGTGACTCGCGGTCACGGTGCGATCGTCAAAATGACCGCGGTCACGGGGTGATCATCGGTATGACTCGCGGTCACGGGATGATCGTCGGTATGACTCGAAGTCACAGCATGATCGTCAGTATGACTCACGGTCACGGCGCGATCGTCGGTATGACTCCGCGGTCACGGCGCGATCGTTGGTATGACTCCGCGGTCACGGCGCGATCGTCTGTAGGACTCCACGGTCACGTCGTGATCGTCGGTATGACTCCGCGGTCACGGGGTGATCGCCGGTATGCCTCGCGGTCACGGCATGATCGTCGGTCCAATAATCGCGGTCACAGCGCGATCTTTGTTATGACTCGCGGTCACGTTGCGATCGTCGGCATGACTCCGTGGTCACGGCGCGATCGTCGGCATAACTCCGTGGTCACGGCGCGATCGTCGGCATGACTCCGCGGTCACGGCGCAATCGTCGGTATGACTCGCGGTCACGGTGAGATCGTCGGTAGGACTCCACGGTCTCGTCGTGATCGTCGGTATGACTCCGCCGTCACGGGGTGATCGTCGGCATGACTCCGTGGTCACGTTGGGATCGTCGGCATGACTCCGTGGTCACGGGGCGATCGTCGGCATAACTCCTTGGTCACGGCGCGATCATCGGCATGACTCCGCGGTCATGGCGCGATCGTCGGTATGACTCGCGGTCACGGTGCGATCGTCGGTAGGACTCCACGGTCACGTCGTGATCGTCGGTATGACTCCGCGGTCACGGCGCGATCGTCGGTAGGACTCCACGGTCACGTCGTGATCGTCGGTATGACTCCGCGGTCACGGCATGATCGTCGGCATGATCGTCGGCATGACTCCGCGGTCACGGCGTGATCGTCGGTATGACTCCGAAGTCACGGCGCGATCGTCGGTATGACTCGCGGTCACGGCGCGATCGTCGGTAGGTCTCCGCGGCCACGGCGCGATCGTCGAAATGACTTCGTCTCCTGCGTTCGCGGACCTATCGCTCGCAATACCGGCGTCAACGGCACTCGCGAAGCGGCAAAATCGCCGACGATCGGACCAAATCCCGTCCCGAAAAATTCCCGAATCAAATGTTATCCCGTCCCGATAATCGGGAATATTTTTTTCCCGAAAAATTCCCGAAATTTCGGGACCCGTCCATCCCTGCTTTTTACGTTACACTTTCACTCTGGTGATTGAAAAAAAACCAGATTGAATATTTTATTATATACAACTGTTTGGTGATTTTATTATTTATAATATGGTGATAACATGCATTGATGAAAATATGTAAAATTCTGTAGTCATTAGTCATCTTCCTTTGAATATAAATAGAACCAGACACCCCATTCTCATGTTAAAAAATGATGTTGTCAGTTTTACAATATAAATAAGTGTTGTTGAATGAGCTTCAGAGAGGACGGATTTAAATTAACCAAGCCAAACTGAAAGGACCATATTGCAGATTAACAATTTTTTTCATGTCAAACCAACCATCTCAATAACAAAAGCAATAACTTTTGACTGCAGCATACTCTGTAAGTGGCTCATCCAAACATGTTATTCTTGAATAAAAAACTTGCTACATCTGGTCCATTTAGATGGGATGATTACTTAGGTGTCTTAAAGTCAATACCAATACTAGAGTAATTGTTTCAGTAGCTTCAGAGGACTTACTTGGTAATTGTTGGACCATAATAACCTGATGCTAATCAGGAGTAAATCTTCTATTATCTTAAAACAATTGTATTTTTTTTATCAGCAAACTTTTGTTTCAGGCCAAACTAAAACACCACATTCATGATCCCAATGCTCCAGAGTTAGTCCACTTCCTGTTCACTCCCTTAGCTCTGATTGTGGATGCGTCCCATGATACCCACTATGGCCCCAACCTCCCCAGCAAAGTGGTCTCCCCCCTACTGACTCAGGAGGCGGTCAACTTGCTCATCAACTGTGTCACTAGCAAAGAAACTGAGCTCTGGCATTCCCTCGGAGACGCCTGGTTGATTCCAAGGTATTTGTCTGTTTTTATCATATTTTGTAAATTATTCTAGAATAATATTTGTTTCAAGTGTAACAGTTTTGTCTAAGGATACAGTAGAGTTTCAATTATCCACCCTACCTGTCCACAACAATGTGGAATAAGGGTGGTTGAATAACATGGGCAATAAAAATAAACAATTCATTAATTTATTAAGTATCTCCATTGTCAAATATATTTAAGTTTGTTTCTGTGCAAAATAATGATGATTCCATCTGCGGGAGACATTGCCATTTTCCGCGGTAACGGAACATTGTCATCGTCTTCCGCAGGCATGGCAAAATCATGAACATCTCCCGCAGTCGTGTAGACATTATCGTTGTCTTCCGCGATTGCGGCTGAATTCTGATCATCTCCTGCTGCCATGTAGACATCATCATTGTCTGCCGCGCTCACGGAAACGTCATTGTCGCGGCATTAGCAGAAATTTTATAACCGTGCGGATCTTCGCAGACGAGTTGGGAATCGGTATCGGAATCGACTTTGAACGGTCAATTCTCGATTCCTATTCCAAAGCCGAGAATCGTTAGAATCAAGTAGACTTTTGAAATCAACCCATCCCTACTAGAAACTATTTCATCGGCTGTTATAACATTAAAAAACATAATAAGTTTATAATATCTTACAATTCAATATTATTAATTAATCAGCTGATGATAACACAAATATAAATCCTAAAACCACATCAGTAGATTATAGCTCAGTCTACTTCTAGTCTTGCCTAAGGCAATGTACATATGCTTGCAATTGATTGGCGTATCTGTGATATTGTCTTTTTCGGTTTTTGTTGCATTTACCCTGTGTACAAGTTTATCTTATTTTGACGACACATAAAGAGGTAGATCCTGTTCTAGGATGATGATGGCGGTGTTCTGAATAATGGCAACACGTACATATGTAGCAAGTTTGGCTTTAATTCATGGTATGTACTTTTGCTTTAAAGAATAAAACTATTGTTTGTACAGAGAGCAGTGGAAGGGGTATGCGCCAGCGCCCTACCACCCAGTGTACGATGGATACCCAATGGCTGAGGAGAGAGAACAGGTGGGAGCTGCCATCGGCTCCGCAGTGGCGTCAGAGGCAAAGAGAACACGTGCTGAAGAAATCAGAGCTGCTCAGCACGAGGTACGTCATTAGTCCAAATCAATTAAGTTTGAATTCCAACCTACACATTATTTGGATATCCAATAACGATATAAAAACGAGTTTATTTACTGTTTTATTCAGTGAACCATTTCGTCTCAGAAAGAAATTTAGTATCAAAGTTAAATAGTTTTAAATATATTAAAAATACTATTTATACTGGGTGAGGATCCAAATGACAAATTCCCTTTGCCTACCTTTTTGAATAGAAACTTAAAGAAAACAGCGAACAATTCTCTAAAGCTTCAAGTTTGCAGAGACAGGGGTATTTTTAAACTGAGTATATTATTTTGTATCCTGCTTTTTATTAACAGGCATATCCTTTTTCTTACTTTTAAAGGTCCCCTTAAAAATAAAGTTGATTTATAAATCTAATTGCAGGCTGAGTTGCGAGAAGCCCATTACAACAGGGAGAAAGAATTAGATGATCTTTACAGCAGTGAATACATATACGACGACGAGAGGCAAGAGGACTACTACCCTGGCCGCCAGGACAGATATGGACTCCAAGAGAGGTAATTTGGAGATCTAGTTGGATTAATTTAGGGTCAGAGAGGACAACTTTTGTAAAAAATTTTGTGCGCAAAAGATTTTTCTGTACAATTAGATAAAATCGTTTGTGTTTGTGTGATTTTTTGGATGAATTACGTGTTGTCTATTGAAAAAAATATTGCTTATTATGATTTGATGTGAGTCTGAAAAAAGGTTTCTATCATTATAAATATCATTGAGATGGGGACGTCACCTATGTGCGTATTTTATCCCAAATATGATTGAAAAATGAGTGTAGAATGGAGTGAGATGATCTTTTTAGCTTTGTAACTAACTAAGACCAGCTATTTCATTAGTAAGGACCATTTATTAAAAACCCAATGATCAAGGACAGCGTTCAAGTGGTGTTTATTTATTAATAACTGAATGATTTGATCCATCTGACTAATATCTTTTACAGGGAGTTCTCCCAGAGTCCTGGCGGATCTGACCCAGATTTCCCTTCGTCTTCTCAGCCCCCTCGAGACCCGAGCGCTCGAAGTGACATCTCGGCAGATTCAATTGAGCGTAGTGGTCGTGGACCTGGAGACAAATTTGAGCGCTCCCAAGCTCGTTGGCTAGAGGAGCTTCGCGCTAGTGGTGCCAAAATAGTCCAAGTGACTTACCCTCGTACAGCGAACAATGACAAAGAACTCACTGTTATTAGAGGAGAATTCTTGGAGGTAAATAGCTTTGAGGGAAGGGTTGTTTATATGTAGGATCCACCTTAATACTTGACCTGCAAACTAAACCCTGACCAGATTTGTTTCAAATTGGAAAATGTCTAGTATGCAGATGTACATACATTTGATTTGGCTGCTCAAAATCCAATTGTAACCTATAGTGGCTCTAAAACTAAGTTCGATGTAGTGAGGTAAACTCGACATGAGTACCATCTAACTGCCATTTGAGGCTTACAGAGCAGCTCTAAATCTAGGAATAAGTAATATTCACATTATTTATCCAATATAAGGATGTAAAATAGAGCACAAGGGCCTAGGTTTCTAGGATGTTTTGAGAGGATAGCAGGCTTACCTGAATGGGAAAGAGTACAAACTGGCACAAGAAACACAAAACTTTACACTATACATACGCATAACATTGGAATATTTCACTGTCACTGACAGCATTTTTAACTAAGGAAGAGAGAGAGAGAGAGAGAGAGTTTCCCTTATGTGCAACATCATGATATCAAAATCATAATATTGAACATAAAGAAAACTCTCTCGTTGTAAAGAAAAAATAAAGAAACCCTGCTTATTTCACTCATATATTTAAATATTGTATTTAAATATATCTACTCCTTGCAATGCTCTCAAAGTGAATTCTTTACAAATCTTGGTTGCCCCTGGGTTGGAAGAACTTGGAAGTAAAAATACAAAACAGAGCTTGGCAGTGGAAGCTTGATGTTAAAGAAATATTTGTGTGGGCCCTGTAAAATAAGAATACTCCCCAAAGGTCCTTAGGGGACGTTCTTGGCACTGTTTGAAGTTCTTCCAGACTGTAATACCTTTGATTTCAAAATAATAACCAATCTTAATCTACACTGAATTTAATTTGCTCACTACTACACTATTATTTAGTGTTGCACTTAAAAGGTGAATCTTTTGTAGTGGCCTATGATTTATTGAATTACCTTTATTTCAATGTTTGAATAATACTACTAATAATGATTTACCAAGGTTATTGAGAACTATAAAATGAGTAACAATTTGAATTTATTGCACAGAATTTGATAATTACACTTTTCAATTTACAGTTGCTGTTTGTGTTTTATATAATCAAAATGACCTTGAGTTACACAATCAGTTGAAAATTATTGAAACGGTTGAATGAATTTATCAAAGGGGAGGTACGGTGCGGTTTCACACCATCGTAGTAATGTATATTAGAATGTTGCTTTATTATTTTATAGCTAATTTGGTACTTTGGCGGTTCATCTATGTTCAAACTGACACAACCTCCGACAACACTTCCGCATCAATCGAACCAGCTACCTGCTCCCTCCTCTGACATTAATTTATTTCCCCCAAAAGATACTGACTGTGACACTCTTTAAAAGAACTGTACCATTTACTCAACAATGAAAATTGATAATGACTCTGTGTAAAAATTCCATCACTATGAAAATCTTATTAACTAACTCTGAATTTCCCTATAAAAACATTTTCGTCTATTTGTTCTTAATCTTAATACTATTTGATTATCACAGCTTAGAAAATATTACAGATTATTACACTATAAATGGATACAAAAATCAGTGACTTGAATTCGAACCTGGAAACCATGTGATCATTTGACATGAAATAACAAAATATGACAGGAAAATTACAATGTGCGACTCACTGAATTCTAAATTTAACAAATAAATAACACAAATTACTTACAAATTCGGACGTCCAGACTAAACACAAACACTACTTGAAGGATAGGGATGGGGAATTGTAACTAGCCGGTATTCTATTCAAAAACGCGATCAATTTGAACTTGCGTGACGAACGTGAATTTTCAAATGGCGGACTTCGTTGGCCGGTTAAAACAAACTTTTGACACTTTTTGAATTACAAAACTGATTCTAATTTCCAACCGCGTTGCAATTATATCCCTTCGGGATATAGGCTAAACGATTTCGAGGAAATGAACATTTATCCGACCAAACACCGCGAGATGAATTTAATTTGCACGGACGAAGGCCTTTACCGAACTAGTTACACAGGAGCTAGGAAACGAACTGGGCCTGGTGGAAGCAAATGACCATCCGACTAGACCTATCCCCTCTACTCTTTTAGTGCGTGGTGCATTCTGGTCTATACTGATCTATTGTTCAAAACAGCTGACTGTTCTTCGCGTTAACTTGTATTGATTTGTTGCCTTTTTCAACAAAATCGGTACATCGTCCTTAGTTGAAAATGCTGTCAGTGACAGTGAAATATTCTAATGTTTTGTGTATATATTATATATAGTGTACAGTTTTGTGTTTCTTGTACCAGTTTGTAGTCTTTCCCATTCAAGTAAGTTTCTATTAATCTTCTTTTTTTTATTTGAGTAATAATACAATAATAGCTAATTTATTTATATAATCTTAAATATTGTTTATGCTGTCTGAGTAAAGTGGTAGGTTAAAAGAATTTACAGTAAAGTTATTACTTCCGGAATAGTTGACCATGTAACGAGTAGTTACTTGGGGTACTACAACTGCTATGGGGGAGTGAGCTGGTCTAGTGGTAGAGCGCGGGACTTCGGTCCCTGAAGATTCTGGATTCAAATCCTGCCAAATCACCAAGTGATAGGTCTAGCCTGAAGAAATGTGAAAAACAATTCCTGGCTCATGCCTATTTTAAAAACTTGAAATAATATCGAGAATTGTTATTTTTACTGAAAACAAGTTTTAGTTGTAGAGGAGATTTCTATGTCCCCACCAAAATACCTGAATCATGTTGCTCCTCTGCAGAACATATATAAATGGCCGTGAATACTAATTTCCTTCAGGTGTCATGGTCCTAGTAAAAGTATTTGAGCTATTTTGTTGGTCCATGACCAAGTTTAACTCACTCATTTTTCCTAGCCAATCTTAATCCCCCTTTGGAATTTAATTTAACTCTTGTTTTATTAGCTTCTGTGCATTATAACCAGCAATAAAGTTGTGTTAAAAGTTGTAATGATCTGATCGCAGGTTCTAGATGATAACCGGCAGTGGTGGAAGACTCGTAACAGCCGTGGGCAAGTAGCTCACGTTCCTCACACCATCGTGACGGCCTACCATCCTGGAGAACAGGTAATCTTCAGCAACCCTCTGTATGCTCAGGGATATGAGCAACCGCAGGTACAGTACCCGACCAATCTTTCCCCATCCGTTTAATGTTTCCTGGTTTTTATTTTGACATTAAATGTTTGTTTTTTTCATTTTCTCCATTACTTCATCTGTACCATCCCTCACAAGTGTTTGTGTGATAAAATTTTCAGTGTAAAATATTTCTTTTTTTATGCTTTTGAAAGGGTTTACATCTAATCATCATCTTGCATTTACCCATGCTCCATTTATCAATTGTTTATATTGCCATCGACTTTTAGATATCAGGGTATACCTCCCGTCCACATGAACTAGCTGTAGCTAATTTTTCATTGAAACAAAACTGAATTGAATGAGCCACAGTGTGCTACTGTCAAAATTTCCATTTTTTCTTAGTTTTCCATACTTTTATACATTTATGTGACATATAAGGTTCCATAGTTTACAGTAAGCTATTCTTTCAGTTTGACTTAAAGGTTAAAACGTCGATGTAGAAAAAAATTAATAACTGACAACTACCAAAACTACTAGTATTTCACTGGTAAGGAAGCAGTGTTGCCAAAACACTATACCAGTGAAAGTCACTATACCAACACACACTATGCCAACATACTATACCAGTCTTTCACTAAATAATCTAATGTAAATATCTAATGTGACTCTCCATGTTGTGAAAGGGGCCAGTGGCCTCGAAATATCCAGTGTTTATTTTGTTTTGTGTTTTCTTCTGTGTTCTGTAGTGAATGAAGTGGGATGCCTACAATTCATAAGGTAAGCCTGCTTATCCTATCCTTTCTCACACCTATTCTCAGGCAATAAGCCCTTTCTCTCCAAACCTAACCTCAAACTCACAACATTTCCTTTCCCAAATCTTACAAAACCTTTGTTCTTTTTCCTATCCATCTCTCCTATAAACATTTCCCTACACTTCTTTAACATTGGAATAGATTGTCTTCTTCTATCTATAGTAAAATATACACATAGTGAATAAAAAGTCAAGACCCCCCCCTCTAATATTTTTACAAGTAAATATACAGAGAGTTATCCTTTTGGTGGTCGTGCAATCTATACAGGAAGTTTCATTTTATGATTTTGAAATTTTTAAATTACTCCCAAAAAGGGGGGATTTTGGGGGCAACTCAAAAGTTTTAATTGTAAACCCCCTTCAAGTTACACATAATTTTGAAGTGTTTACAAAAGTTTAAAGAATGGTGAAAACTAGAGTTTGCTATCTCTGCTCTATCCAAAATGGTAGCCCTTCAAAGGTTTAACTACGTTACTGTTACATTAATTTTCTTGTGTAATAAAAATTAATTTCCCTCCCTCTAATTTGTTCCTCAGTAAATATTACAGAGTTATCCTTTTGGTGGTCATGCAACCTTAGCAGTAAGTTTCATTTTATGATTTTGAAATTTTTTAATGTCCCTTAAAAGGATTTTGGGAGCAACTCAAAAACTTTAATGTAAACCCCCCTCAAGTTACACCTCATTTTGAAGTGTTTAGAAAAACTTAAAGAATGATGAAAACTAGAGTTTGCTATCTATTCTCTATCCAAAATGGTACCCAATATTTCAATTACAAACCAATATTACCATTGATTTTCCATAAAATTTGATGGGCTACAATTTTGGATAGAGATGAAATACCAAACTCTGGTTTTCACCATTCTTTAAGTTTATGTAACACTTTAAAATGAGGTGTCAGTCAAAGGGGGTTTACATTTAAAATTTTTGACTTGCCCCCAAATTCATCCCTTTTTGGGGGACATTTAAAAATCATAAAATGAAACTTCCTGCTAAGACTGCACGACTACCAAAAGGATATCTCTGTATATTTACTTAGAAAAATATTAGAGAGGGGTGTCTTGACTTTTTATTCACCCTGTATAGTATAAACTCTAAATATTATGAATCAAAATGACAGCACTTGGCTTTGAAATCCAAACACTTAAGTCAGTCAAGCCGCCGACTACAGCATTAACTGTATTTGTATTGCTACCCAAGTGTAAAGTACAAAAGTATATTTACTAATGTAAAAGTCACTGCTAAATAAACACAAAGATAGTCCTCTGGTGAACATTTTAAGAATCCTACCCCTCTTTACTAAAACCAACTAACAGTTTTGCTCCAGAATCAAAATTCTTATTGTGTGAGAAGGCAGGGATTTGCAACCTTTTTTGCTCCACCCCCCCCCCCCCCCCCTTAGAATCCTGACTATTTCTCAATTAAACATCCGATCCCCCCACCATATTAAGCTCAAACATCATATCTGATTGCAGCATTCTAATCCATCTGTGTAATTAATTGATTATCTATACTCAATATTGAACAAGGTAATATGATCAAATTTAAACTTTTTTATTGTTACAATCTCAAATTAATTTTATACTAGCAGCCTGCGTCACTTTGTAACTTCTAAATCCGTGATATATTTGATATATAGTTGATAGCCTAAGGGTGGAAACAATTATTTCTCATCTCATCCTTATTATTTTAATTGTATGCGCGATCTCTTTGAGGCATCTTAGTATACTACAAATGCAAATGAAACATACTATGAAAATACAAAATCTCTTCTTTTTCTTTACATTTTAAACAAATAAAATTACAATATTTTACTTAAATTCCCTACAACATAAATAAAACATAATATGAAAACACAAAATCCTATCAAAACACAAAATCAAATGTAAGACATTTTGAGAAGGTAACATAGCACTGAATCCTACAGGACTGAATCATGTTTAGTCCTAATTTGCCGAAAAACACGTTCAGCGTTTCAGGATTTTCAATTCCTACCAATAAAGAGATGTTTGTGTTACAGAGCCGAAATAATTCTTTTAAAATCCAACAGCACCAAACAAACGCTAAAAAAAGTCAGAGTACCGAATTTACAATTATTCTTATAGTTCCGAAAGCAAAATGAATCCTACACTGCCGAATCCCAAAGCTTTGAATTCTTTCGGCTCTATAGGACTTATGAAACTTTCTTTCGGCGTTGTGACACGATTTTGTGACACGATTTTGCAAACAAAATCCTAACCAGCCGAACAATAGAAGCCCTACCAATCTTTTCCCACTACACTGTTTAGTGGAATGTGTTTAGTAACTTAATTTTACTTACAATTAATTTTTTGAATTATAATTATTTTTATGATTACTTTAAAATTACTCTACATAATAAATTATATTTATTTGAATAATCTTTCTCTAATTGGATAGAGCTTGTACAATGTCTGTGTAGTAGAAATAGTATCCAGCAAATGTGGAAGTACAGAGAAATGTTGTTAGTTTCATTGGATGCTATGGGGTTGTATATATATATATATGTCAAGTGGGGCGGAGAATGAGTCTACGAATAGGGGCGCACGGAGAATACTTGCATTGGGGTGCAGTCAGACTAGTTCTGCCACTGGGATAATATTCAATTGTTCGACACTTGCTGCCGCATCCTCTCGGCTCTGTAACACAAACATCTCTTTCAGCGCTGTAAGAATTTAAAATTCTACAACTTTGAACGTGATATTCGGCAAATCAGGACTAAAACATGATTCACTGCTATAGCATTTTGCACAGAAATAACAATTTGGTACTATAGGATTTTGCACAGAAATATATAATTCGGCACTATTGAATTCCAAACACTTTTAAATCCTATAGTGCCGAACTGTTTTTGGTAACGTTCTATAATGCCGAAAGAATGTTTAAATCGTCCAATAACAGCGAACAAATTCAGCCCTATTACTTTCGGCACTATAGGATTCGGTGCTATAGGACCACACCAGCCATTTTCTTCTATACATTTTACAAATAGCATGACAATCTTTGAATCTTTGACTTGAATTCACTGAAACATCACTAACTACAGATAACCCCATTTTCGTATGGATGTGAACAACATTGTATTATGGCCATCTATTTTTATGTAAACAAATGAAAACTTGAAACAGTTCAGATGCTTGACAACAGAATTCAGCACAGACTCTGAAAATTTAAAAGCCTATAGGACGAAGGGCTTTCACGATATATCATCCAAACCTGCAAAACGCACGTCTAGAGGCTAAGAGCTTTAAATTGATACCCAATATGTACATGAAAATAAATATTTAGAGGTTGATTTTTTGCACACGAAAATCCAAAGATTCTTTTATCAATATAGATTATTTTTGGGTTATTACTTTTCTAGGAGCGCTCACCAATCCTTCCATACCCTTCTAGGTTGATAACCACTGTGATAAGGTGGTTCATAAATGTTTACGAATGTGGATCGGAAATCGAGGCTTTTCCCAACTGCCTCCAATTCTTACGCACAGTTTGTACAACCAGACACTTTACTCTATTCATATGTGGCACTAGTTTTCAAGTGGCAATAGTCTTTAATATAGAAGCTGACCCCTTGGACCCCAAAATCTAATGATTGAACGACAGAACGTAATTCATATTGGGTGGGTGTGTCAATTTTTCTTCACATTGTTAACCCTTTCCCCCTTTGGTAATCTTTTTCAAATACTTACAACAAAAAATCAAAAATCAAAATAAAAGCATAATAGGCCTACGTTGTCATAGCGATGGGCGGGCCCGGCCCGACATTAGAGTTCGTGCGGCCATGACAAACGGCGGGGCTCCCCCGCCCATTGAGCGGAAAGGGTTAAGGAGAAGTAAAGAACACAGCGGTGCATATTAGAACTAGCTCGCATGATTGTTACTAAAATATCCTTTTAAAATCTTTAAAATATCATAAAATATTTTAATCCATTGTACATAAACAAAATGTAAGACCCAAAATCACTATCAGAAATAAAAATGTTACTAATTTCCTGACCAAGAAAAAGGTGAGTTAATAAACTAGGTTCGAGTCCAAAAGATTCAGTTTAGGCCGTAGTTATGTTAAATATGGCCCTAAAAGTCACAGAGGTTAAATATGATGTTTGTGGTCCTTTAAGATTTTAACTGTGTAACGTTTAAAAATAAAATTTGATTTTTTCAGGAAAGAGAAGTAAGGGAAAACACCCGTTCTCCTCCGGCCCCTCCTCCTGCCCCAGCCTCAGCGGAATGGGTCAGAAATCAGCGGATTGGCAAGAAAGGTGAATTCCGCTACTTTTAGTGTGCAGCACGCACATGTGTCGGCATGCTATGTTGTGAAGTGTGACGTTGCAAGCTTGTGTGCCACTGCCTCGGTGCTTGTTAAGATATGTTAGCTTCATGTGCACAAATGTATCAGATGTCATTTACTCGAGAATCATGGATTCGGTTCAAATGATTGAGTGGGCCATATATTGTGTATTTCTTTTTATTGCAAAATATTTTTATATTGTTACAATGATTTGTGCTAAGTCATCGAGGATAAATGGACAAGAGTGGGCATTCTATTTGATAAAGCTAACAATTCAGTTGTATTTGTAGCCTCATGGGGGGGAGGGGGGGCTAAATTGTTGGCAATGTAGATTACCTTTATTTTTATTTGCATTTTTAAAGTTCTGCAGGATCAATAATATCTTAATTTTTAAATGATTGCAGTCTAATGATGCTCAAGAAATGTACTTATTTTATAATGTGTTTTGGTACATTCCATTAAGTGTCCATACTAATCTGTATATCCTCAATGATAAAACGATTTTGCAATGCTCAGACCTCTGTAGGCTCAATATAATTTGTTGTTGTTGTCATGTTATGTTTCACTCAATAAGTCCATGAGCATCGTTTTATAAGGATTGAATTCATACCATTTCAGAAACTCATATTTCTATCCATTTTGTTTCCACAAAGTTTTCTATTTAAAAAGACGGTAAAAATAGGTATACTTATGGTTATTGAGCTCAAAGTATTACTAATTGAAGATTATTTAAAAATAAAGTTTTTGTGTATGCAACAGAGTAAGATTGCTATCTTTGAATAGGGTTTGCAAAATGTTCAATCAACAAGTTGGGTTCCAAACCAAAGAAGACTAATATAAGGTCTTATCAATTGGTTAGGTCTGGTCAGTTGGTGTTTAATCCAGCACTATCTTAACCCTTTGCGGTCGAATGGCGAGTATAGGTCGCCGGGCGCCATTTTCCCGACTGCACCAATAGCAAACTATACTCGGAGAAAAATGGGGAAAAAATTCTACCTCAAAGGGTTAAAACAACTCAAAAGAAGTAGAACAAAATTTAAGAGGACTGAGCAAGTAACAAATAAAGATAACTTAATGCTTAACTGTTTTTAGGTTAGTTTGAAGCATATCACAACTACACATCACATTAATGACATCATTAGTAAAAAAAAAAACATATTTCAATCTGAATCCTAAAGGCCTGATTGAACCATTTTAGTTTTTGTTTTTAATAGAACCCACATACATTTTCAACATCATACATGTTCATTTTAGCACTTAAGCTGTTAAACAAAATTTGGTTTGAATAAACCAACTTGGCTTATACAGCAAATGGTTATATACTTTGAAAGCCTCTTAAGTCATCTTCCTTGGTTTCAGACTTTATCACATATTGTCATATTGATATTAGTTTACGGTAGCAAGCTTTAATTTAACTTAAAACACAATATATTTAACCATTTTAAACTGACTTTATTTGAACATTAAATTAACTTGAAGTTTTATAAACCATTAACAGATTATACCTATACAAAGTAATATAAATACATATTTATAAACAAATATATGTAACGTTAGTGCATCGCCATGTCAGGTAGGCCTATAATACATATGATAATGCTTACCAGCTACAATATTTAGTTTACTGTAGTGCTTTTTTGTAGTTATATAAGTTTTCTTTAGGATTAAAATTAAATGCTCGTGATCTTGATATTGTATTATAACTTGGCATATCCATATCAGGCATTATCAAAGAGTGAAAATATGAGTGTGAAAATTTTGTGAGCTCTTAAAATAAAAATATCTTCCTCAAAATAAATATACACTTTAAACATGGAATTTCTCATAAGAAGTCAGTTAATACAGGGTGTTTTTAAAAGAATGCCCGGATTTCAAACGGTCGTCGCTCGGGGACTACTCAAGATAAATTAAACAATTTAAACGTCAAATTGAAGGGAAAAGAATAAAGTTTTTTTCTCATTCTTTGTTACAATTTGGAATTATAATACAATTTTGATTTTAATCAATCTTATATGAGCGTCAAATTGGCAGTCTGTACGCTTAGGTGATCGACGGGTTTATCTGATGTGTTAACTGAATCTTTTTCGGCACAAAGACTCTATCTGTTATAGATATAACATCATAAAGTGACCAATTTAGATTTGTTCAACTGAAGACTTCGTCGGGCAATCAATTTTTTCGGGCTTCTGATGCAGCATGCTGAAACACCCTGTACAGTGAAAAATAGATAAATAATAAATGTTTAATAAAATAATAATATAATATTTACAACAATTTTTTGGGTTAACATACACGTAGATGATTACTGGTGCCTTACTATTTACAACGAAGTAGTAAAATAAACCATGGAAAACCTAGAAATAGTAAGTATTATGCTCTGAAATGGGTCACATAAAATCCTCTATGGTGCATAACTTAACACAAGATTAGTAGTATAAGAGAAATTTGTTAGTCATGGATTACCAAAAATCAAACCACCATTCTGATTTATTGCATTTAGTGGCTCAATATTAAGTCTTCGTTAAAATTGAAAGCTGTCATTAATATCAGTATTCTCTACTTCTATAAAAAGGCAGCGGTTTAATTTTTACCAACGGCTCAGTTTTAGTTATACCATTGACTATACACAGAATAGACTTTCCCATGGATAATGTAAAAATTTGAAGCCAAAAAAACCTTATGAAATCTGTTGAGATGGTCACCAACCAGAGACAATATTCTGTGTCAAGTGATAAATCAATCAGTTGTTTGCTATGATACTGCATTGGTTTTAATTAATATTTAACCCAGTACACTAGTAAAATCTGGAGAAATGGTCCTGAACTTCATATATTTTCTTGGCTTCAAACTTTATATCACATGGGAAGTCTATTTTGTGTATAGTCAATGGTTGTACAAACTCCTTCCTTTAAATGAAGTTTGTTAAGATGACATCGACAATGTTTGCAAGTTATAGAGAATTGTAAACAAGTACGCATTGTCAATGAAAATCTAGAGTAGCTATTTTTTTAGTAACTTCAATTCATTTTCATCACTGTACAAATTTAAAAATCAGTATTATATTGTTCTGTATAGGAACTTTGTAAAAGCCAAGAAAATACTTTGTATATATCGTGTGTGTGTGTGTGCATGTGAGTTGAAAATGTATTTTAAAAATGAATGAATGACGTAAGGGTTGAATTTAATATAGAGAATGATATATTTATACTTATAAAATAATCAATTGTTGACAGGTGAAATATTTTATTATAACTGTACTTAATACAAATCAATGTTATTCTACTTTAATTATGTGTTATAATTTATCTAGTGAGTAAATATATTTGATATAATAATTGTCAAACAGATGACAAAATAATTTGTTTAAACATTTATATTTACATAATTTATCTGCATGTACTAGAATGTTATAATGTACTTAAATTGTTATTAAAACTCAAAAATTAAAAATACTTAAGAGTAAATCAGACCTGGCAAGGCAAGAAATACAGAGCTGAGTGTGACATTTCCTTGTATTTTTATTTACTATTTAATTTTGCAATGTTCTTAAGTGAATATTTTGGAATAATAGAAATAGGTACAATGTAAACCTAAAATTAGTGTACAGTTTAAATCACTAATAAGAACAGAAAACCGTCGCAACTAAAATATTAGAGGACTCAACAACACTTTGCCATGGAGTGGTTTTTAACTTTAAGTTTGATTGTTGAAATGTATAGGTTTAAAGTTTTTTGATAAAATATAATGATTATCATTATAAGGGTTATTTTTCCGTCCTCATATTATATGTTTATTTTATCTTCCAGTCATCTCAAGCGTTTTTTTTTATATAGAAATTACATTTCATATGCTTATATGCACACCAGGGGCGGCTCCAGGAATAATTTTTTGGGTAGGCCTGACAAGGATCAAGAAAGAGTATGATCGGGGGACGAGAGGTTTCAAGGGCTTCCCCGCAAAAAGAGGGGAATTTTAAAATTTAAATGCAAAATAATTAGTTTGAACGCTTTCTCTTTATTTACATATAATTAATTTTCTTTATTTATTTATAATTTTGAAATATCTACCAAATTTTGGGTAGGCTCGGGCCTGGTGGGCCTACCTGGCTTGCTCTTTGGAGCCGCCCCTGATGCACACTGTTATTGTTGTAGTTTCCATTCATCATCTGATTTTATTTCTGACAACACATTCAGAGGTGCTTGACATGTCTTGTTTTGACGTGTTTGGTTTATCCAGCTGCCTTGTGTTTGCTTGGTTTTGCATTTTGTTGTTTTGGTTGTGAAAAATAATTTTATTAATAAAAGTATAATTTTTTTAAACAACCCATCCATTTAATTTTTTTTACCTAAAATTTCTCTAGAAATACTACTTACCAAACTTAAGAAATTAATTTATAGTCTATGTGTTTAAAATGTCTATGTTTTGGTTGCCAATAATTATAGGTTTCACTGTAAATAAAATCCCTAACATACAACTATGCTTCAAAATATATATTTTAGTTTTTGAATGTACCAAGAAAAGTTTCCTTTAATAGTGGGGCATTTCAAAATTTCCATTTAAATTATTGACTGGATTGACGATTCAGAGTTAAATTCTTGAATTTAATCCTTTATATAAACCATAATTTTTGTGGTTTGTTGACTATTGCAAAGTCATACATTTTTATTTAAGTTTGACTAACCAGGTGGTCTCTGTAAATAAAATATCTAAATACTAAAACCTTACTAAGTAAAGCTTACAGGATAACACCTCAAAGTAAATATTTTTAAAAAAATGTCACCTCATATTCTAAATAGTCATGCCGATATTAATTTTAAAATCACAGTGTTGTTAATGTTGTAGCTATCCTTCAGTAATTTATTGCAAATTAGAAAAAATAAACTAAGAAGGTAATAAACCATAAACCATGAACCTTGTAGTTGCACACTCTAGTAGTAATGCATTTTATTTAAATGTTATAGCATCAATTGT